ACAATTGCAGCAGAGTATACAGTCAAAAAAAGGGAGCAGAGATGGCCAGGCTTTACTCCAGTAGGAAGTTCCAACAGGGGCATCCCTGGTACCTTACAGGGCTCTGAGAACCTCAGCAAATGCTTTGGGGTAAGCAGTCTCCTCCAGGAGGATGCCATTCCCTGGTTTTGAAAGTTGGGAGGAAAGTGATACAATTCTCAATAGAAAGAAAAGTCATTGAAATCTGCTTTTCTGGAAGGTGAACAAAGACCACACAGCAGCGATGAGACATCAATCAAATCAACTTGACAACAGGTCAAGCAAATGATGTGTGACATAGACAGGCCCACGTCATGAGATTCATTCAGGAAAAGAGGTCAGCCCAAACCCTCTGCATTGTTTCCTGGCCCCATCCTTCCTGCAAGAGACTGACTTCATGTTAAATGAAGTCTTCAGGAAAAGTGGGACTAAGCTTTATATGCCTTGGCAGTGAATCGAGGCTTCACAACTCTAAGGCTGCCGAGAAAGTCAGTGTGTGCGCTTTCATAAGTAAGACTACTTTAAAAATAATCATCTCAACTCATTTCCAGGGAATAGCAAATTTTCCACAGGGGTCTTGTCTTGGAGGAAGCTGGGGACTATTCACTGTCTGGCCTCTAAGCTCAAGGCTCCCATCAGAGGACTGAACTAGACAAAAGGACCAGTGAAAGTCTTGGGCCACGCCTTCGGTAAATTCCAAATTACACTCACTGTTTTAAAACTATTTTGTCTTATCTGCCTTTCTTCTGTCTTCATCTCCATTTGCAGGTTGAGAATCAAAGCATTTTGTTTCTATACATCACCTAAAAAATAAAATCTAAAACATCTTCTCTATACATTCATTGGGTGTCATAGTGCTTGGCATGAATACCAACAACGACATGAGCAGGTTTCCCAAGTTCAGAGGTCAGTCTGCTGCCAAAGCCCACAATCCTTTACCTGAGATAGAAGGCAGTATGTCTGTTACCTCTTCCATTTGGGCCCAGGTTCGCCATACTCACTATCTCTATTGTCTTCCACTCTTCTCAGATGGAACCAGAATACCTCAAAACAGTAAAGAGATGGGTGCATCTGTGTCCTTTCTGGGGTGCAGTATGGACACATTTTAGAGCCATTGAGGCATGTAGAGCCAGAGAGGTCAAGCAAACAGCAACACTGTGGGTACGCTACAAACTAATGGACTGCAAAGGATGTCTCCAACAGGACTGAACTATGCTAGAGGAAGCTCAGGAGCCCCCAGCTTGCCCTGCTCTCAGAACTGGTGAAGCACCAAGCAGATCCTCATACACTCAAATGAAAGGGTCCATGCAGCCTACTGGAGCAACTGGGTACTTGATTCAGGGGACCCTCTATTGTGGGAAAGTACCCTGATTTCTCTTCTGTGGTATGTGTGATCTGTTGGGGAGAGAGATGTGGCTGGATGTCCATCACCCACTTCACATCTTTAGGGAAATGGTGGGCATTTGTTCAGGCTATTTATCATATTTGTGCGCATATCTGCTTGACACTTAGAAAGAGCTCTGATTTTCCCCCTCCACATGTTACAGATGAGTGTTTAGCTTACTCTCCCAAACCTAACTATGTGTGGAGGTAATTGATATTTTGTAATATTCTGCAATGCGATTTTGTGATTGATCAGACATGATGACAATATTGGGATTAGTAGGCTTTAAGTCATCCAGAGTAAATTTCTTTACCTCCCCAATATCTGTTTTCACCAAAACCTTTGGGTCATTCTGTTTTCAGGCTAGCCAGATGTTAGTTATCATAGATTCTATTTGCTTTGCTCCTTTCTGTACAGGAGAAGAAATCAGAACCTTGAAGAAAGAACAGTTATTAAAATATACATACATATTTCATTGAAGCATTAAAAATCAACTGCATTCAATCTGCTCTGGAGAAATTCTACCAAGGACTGAATAACACATACATACAAAAATAAGTAAAGAGAGAAAAGACAAATTGTATATATACATATATATGTGTGTGTGTGTATATATATATATGTATATATAGCATCGATTCTTCCTGCTGAAAGTGCTGATCCAAACCTGCCTAGAGGAAATGAGGTTTTTCTTTTTTCTTTTTTTTTTTGAAACACACACACATGCAATCAGAGATAATCAGCAAGTTAACAACACACTTGCAGACACCCTCGTCCCTCGAAAGAGTGCCAGCTTTCAATGTAAGTTCTAAGAGCAGAACAGATCCTCTGGGAAAATGAGAAAACAAGTGATCGTGTCAGCGTCTTCAGGCAGAACGTTCTCCAAAGCCAAGAAGCTTTGGCGTGTCACTCGGCTCCGGAAGGCACCTGCTTTTTAAGAAGCCCTTTAATAACTGCATTCCAACAGCATGGTTTTCTGTGTTTGAGTCAGCTCCGCTCCTCTGCTATCAATTTTCTCTCCCATGAGTTCAATGAGGAAAAATCAAAGCCTACAAGTGTGTCCAACCTTTTAACACTACAACTGGCATTGTCATCTACTGATGTGATGAACCCCTTTATAGCTATCTTGAGAAGCAAGTGGTCTGGGGACCTCAGACTGGAGATCTCTGTGGACCTAAAGGGACAATGTATCTGCCAGACATCGCCTGACATCACAAGTGCCTGGTCCAGGCACAGGGATGGGGGTGTAAAACCCAGCCGGCAGAGAACAGAAGCAGAACAGCTGGAGAGTGTTTCCGCGGTAGCCCCCGTACTTCCTGCAATGGGGGCTCCTCCCCAGTTCCCAACATGTCAGTCTCCAACATGTTCCACCTGTAAAATAAACTTAGTTTTGACTTTAAAAAAAAATGTTTCAACACAGCTATTATTACATGCAGTTTACATAAAGCATAACCTGCTTTATAAGGGATGGACAGTTCCCCAAATGTCTTAGGAATACCCACAAACACAACGGTTAAAAACCAAACCCCTTACCTGAACAGATCCTGGGAGGGAAGAATAAGATACTTACCTGGCCCTGCCCTCTTGACACAGCAGCAAAAGCCAGTTAAGGGAAAATTGTTTACTCCTGGTCAAGAGAATGAACTCTCTGCCCTGAGTGGAGGCCTAACATTCCAGTTGGACAGGTCAGTGGCCTGGCTAGCAGGCCAATCCTCAGAGAGGCAGGACCATCCCTTGGAAGGCAGGTTCACCTTAGGCTACTCTAAACAGATAGGTAGAATGTTTGGTTCTTTCATGAGATAATCTCCCTTCCTAGAAGCCCGGCACCCTAGGAGCTCTCCTGAGGTTTGGTGGAGTCCATACACATTTCTGAGTCCTTCACATGGACATCACTATCCCTTTTCTTCTCTTCTGTCTTTTTATTTCTGATCCTCGCCATAGCCTCAGTATGCTCTTTCGGGTACTTTGGCCTTTTTTACTCTTTCTCTGAAACTCGCCTCCCTACCATGTGGCTGCTTGTTCAGCACGTGGTTGACCTTCATGCCAGATTACCTCCAATGGCAAGCCTTAACTCCTTCTCTCCTCTATTGGGAAAGTGATGAGATTATGCTTGCCTACTGTTTGTTCGCTTGCTTGCTTGCTCGCTTGTTTTAATCTAATAAAATTTTCCTCAAGTTTTTTTGAGTCAAGTTTTTTTTATTATTATTTAAATAGAATTCTTTTACTAATGAAACTAAGAAGCCCAAGAAGAAACTCTGGTTTCCAACATCACTCTGACCTCTTTGACTCTCCTGCAGTAGACTCTGAACCCTTATTGTACATCAGGATCACATGAGAAGCTTTAGAAAGAGAGAATTGGTGAGATCCCACTGCCTGGGTATGGTTGGGAAGTTTTCCAGCTTTCCAGGGTTGAGAACAACTGATCTTCCTTATAGAAGGCCACCACCTCCATGAAGAGGCCCATGTGGGTTGGCCTCGCAAAACATGTTAAGAAGAACCGGTGTGTAACTCATTCTGTGTCCTCCACATCTTAACCTCCCAAGATTCACGCCTGTCTCATCAGTTCCCACACATTTGATCACCATAGTGATTTCTCTTCCCCAAATCTAAGCCCATAGTGAGTGCAGAGGGCTAGGAATATACATATACATACATACATACATACATATATACATATATATATATATATATATATATATATATATATATATATATATATAAAGGAATTTATATCTTATTTGTATTTGCCATATTGAACTACTTCCTCAGCTCTAACACCAAACAGAAGTTAGGAAGTTAGTGTGCATGGCAAGGGCAGCTTTTCTCCATTTCCCTTCCTCTGTTTCTTTCACTCCCTTCACTTCTCCCCTCCCTCTCTCCATCCCTTGCTCTCTGCTTCAAGTTGTAGTTAGACATGGGCAGTTTTCTAGTGTAGCCTGAGGGATTCCACTGGACAAGGCTCCAGTGCAGCCCTGTGCCTATCCACACATATTTCAGTAGATGGAACACTCAGGAAAGGAAACCATATCTAAAGAGGAGCCTCATGGCTAAAACAAGGACAGAGGGCGCTCAAAAGCGATCTTTGACTGCCCTCTAAACGCTTCTCACGGGCTAAGGGGCGGCATAAATACTGAACTGTAAGAGATCCATGCACAGACCCTAAAGCCCATCCTGCTCCATTCTCTGCACAGGTGTTGCTTAGGCTAAAGTAATGAGGAAGACACTACGGGGAATTTTCCCAGCCACCCACAGGGGTCCAAGTCTCCAAGAGTCAGGAGGGGCAGGAACAGCCACCTTGCCAGTCACTCTCTTGTTTCTCACTCTGGGCTAACCCGGCTGAGCTGTCTACTCCACTTAGCGCTTTGAGTTGAGTCAGAGTGCACGGTTGAGTAGCCCGTATTTTCTTTCTGCTGAGATCTGGTGCTCTTTCCATTGAGAGCAAGGAGACGAGTTTCTACCACCTCCTTGGACAAGGAGGCCCAATTACCTAGCATTCAGCTGGAGCTGTGCTTGCACATAGAGCTAGTTTCTATTCAGCCCTCCTCATGAAATCGGTCAGCAGACCGTCTAGAGCAGGAGAGGGAGGGGCGCGTCTTACCTTCTGAGCAGAGTGTGCCACCATAGCCAGTGGTGGAACAGTCACAGGTGGGATGGCCATCCAGAAGGAAGCAGATTCCGCCATTCTCACAGGGACGCTCACCGCAGGGTCCCTCCGCTTCTAACTGGACTCCCTGGCTCCCCAGAAGCCGGGGCTCCGAGTTGCCATACTTGAGATCCAGCATTAATCCCTTAAAGCCGGGCATGCTCTGTACTCCATCGAGGGTCAGGGCAGAAGGCCGAATGTCAGCAGGGACGCCACCGAGGAACAAGTCACTGACCACATCCATGTACGGCCGCTGGGGCCGTAGCTCCCCAGACTGGCCTTCACCATCAATCACCAGCCCAGTGCGCACGCGGTCACGGCTCACCATGAGGAAGTGCCAGCTGCTGTCGTTCACCTGCTTGTTGGATAACACGGTGGTCTCGGCGCAGTCCATGCTGAAGCGGAGCTGAACGCGACCATCCACCAGGGAGAGGCAGAGGAAGTCACAGACACCACCATCATCCAAATACAGGAGCAGCCCAGTGGAAACATTGGTCTTGAACTGGAAGCTCAGGTCGCTGCGAGTGCTTGCATCCCAGCGCAGGTAACGGGCCCACTGGTTAGGGAGGCCCATGAACTCCAGACCCAGGCAGAGCCCCACCAGGGAGCCCAGAAAGATGCTCACCTTCAGGGTGAAGAAAACCGAGTGCAAGGTAAAGCTCATCGTGGCTGTTGGGCCAGAGCACAGATGAGCAGACAAGGCCGGGAAACAGCCCTGGGGGTGGGAGGCAGGGGTTGGGGTTGGTGACGGAAGAGAGAGAAGACAGAGCAGTGCACAGAGAGCACACAAGCAGAGTACACAGGAATGTTAGGAGGGTGGGGAAGGAAGAAAAAGAACAACACAGCCCTAGACAGGCACACAGGCAAGAAATCCCATAAAGAGGCGGAAGAAACAGACAGGGGATGTCGGGCGGGACTAATCCCGGATAAGGTGAGGAAGAAGTATCTTTCTCCAGGAAAAGATCTCAGCTATCCATGTGGATCCGGAGGCCTTGACTCAAGGAGGAGAAGGAGCCCGGGGCGGGAACAAGCCTTCAGCAATGTGTTTCTCCTGGCGTCCGAACCAAAGAGACCAAGGACGAGGCTGGGGCTCGGGGTGCCGTGATGGAGGAGGAGAAAACAGTGAGGTGAGCCAGGTGAAAGATAGTCCCGAGCCAAGGATCAGTGCTGAGGTTTGACCTTCTAGCAGCAGCAGGCCTTGAGAAAGGGAGCCGCAAGTAACTGAGTACTCAGGAAGAGTGGAGCCCACAGCAGAGCGGAAGCAGATTCAGGCTTCATGGTGCTGACCCCAGGCAGTGCTGCCCATAACAGAGCTCCCAAGACTCCAGGGAAAGGACCTGTGGGGGAAGGGAGAGAAGAGGTTAAGACTGGGGCTAAGCACCAACGATTACATCCTATGGCACAAAGACTGATGGAGTGCTAATAACCCTCAGGCAGTTCTGCCTACGCCTTCAGTGCTATGTTCTTTACACAGGACAGGGTCCCAGTTCTCCCACCGCTAGGGGAAGACCCGAGTCCAGTTCCGAGTAACACATTTAGGTTGGTTGTTTTTTTTTCCAAATGTAAAATGCAAATATCATAGAAAGTCCCCCAAAGCTACATCAGCACATTTTTGAAAATAGACAAATGAAACGTTAGCATTTGAAAACATTCAAACACCCATATATAATGTTTACTTATCTATTAAAAACGGTTTTTTCTCTTCCAACTTTACAATCCACTACTTCAGTGTAAGAGAGCTGAGAACTTAAATTTTAGAAATGTATAAAAATCAGGGAAAGTGAATTAGTGGGCAAAAAGGCCACAGTCTCTAACTAAATATTAGGGAAGCCTTCTTTTAAAAATGAGCTTTAAGGTTAAGAAAAAAAAAATTGAAAGGCTGAGTTTGGATTCTAATTCCTGTACATGAAACAGAACAATACTCTTAGCCTATTTGCATTTTTACTTAATAATTCAAAAAGTAGATAAAATAATGGCCTTCTTCCAAGAGTGAGAGAAAAATAAGCAAGATCAGTACGGTGTGACCCAAGCAAGCCTAAGCACTGCACATAGTAAGTGATGAATATAGAGTGGGTTGGCTTCTTTCTTCTGAAATGAGGAAGAACGGGTAGCTACATGAGTGTTTGTGTGTGAGATGAGGGATATGCATATATATGCACAATATTGAGAACACTTCTGAATAGCTAAGAAGTGTCACAGACAGAGTGAAGCAAGTGTATTTGATTATGACTAGAAAGGGAGCAATATCCATTGAGCTCGGGACCTGGTTCCTGAAGGAAGTTGCTGATCTACCTAACCAAGCTGGTGAGTTCTCTGTTCAAAGAATCAGTCAGTGTAATTTCCAAGAGCTGTGCAGGTTGCTGCTTACTCCTGTCACGTGTGGTACTTCACAGCAGTTCACAGGGGTCTCCAGAGAATCACAATTAATTCTATTTACAATGATGGCATCAGGAGAGCTGGCTGGTTCTCTTCTTTTAGAGGAAAATGCTGTCCCTTTAAACGGGGACAAAACCCTTGTCCTGCATGAACAAGCAGCCTCTATCCATAAAAGCCTGGTCAAATCCATCATCTTGGACTTGAAAAGTCTTGGTTCTGTGGAAGAGTTTTACCCAAGCAGTATTTCTTGGAATACGGCATGGGTAGGAACCCCATAGTCTCAAAGGATACCAAGTTAGAATGTGGACATAGGAATATATGCTGATTTGTAGGGGTATGTGTGCCAACTACTCAGAGTTCAGGGTAGTGTGTGTGTGTGTGTGTGTGTGTGTGTGTGTGTGTGTGTGTGTGTG